TCTCTCTCTCTCTCTCTCTCTCTCTCTCTCTCTCTCTCTCTCTCTCTCTTTGGAATGAAGAGGTAGCAAACTCTGCTCCGGCTCGAAACCAATTTCAATAGCACGCCAAAAAGGAAATCGAAAACAAAGCCTCACCAAATGCAATGAACAAACTTGTGAAAATCATGTTTTAATTTGTTCTGTCACTGTCGATATAAGCCGTATGGGAACGAACGAACGAATGAAAAAACGATGCACAAACGAATCTACTCTCACTTCTCTCGAACTATTGCAGCAGCAACCGATCGAAACAGAATTTGCTATGCGGCTATTGTCTGACATACGCCTTTTGTATTAATTTTAACACAACAGCTAATGATTTAGACGGATCACTATAATAAAAGTCAACTTACTTCGATGCACATAACAAAGGCAAATCATCTAATGCGAATGCGATTGTCTTGCGATCCTCTTCCATAGACAAAGTAACGAATTTTCCGTTTTTGTTGTTGTTTCCTTTGAGTTTATTTGGGCATAAAGGATTCGTACATTCGATTGAAAATCTAATTAAAACTATGAAAATCTTTTTAAAGGAATTATTTTGGTTTAAAATATACTACTGGCTGAACAATGATGTTTCATCGTTATTCCTCCAAAAAAGTAGTTTTTTTTTGCTCTCGGTCGAGCTGATAAAAACTTAAAAGTAAATAATACTTTGATATGATGTCGTTAAAATGCGCTTACGCAAGGGAATGATATTTTATTTTATCGCGTATTTAAATACGGCGTAAAATGCTCTTAAACCTACTCTTCAATAGCGAATGATGGTTGACTGATAAAAATATTCAGTGACATTTTTTATCGTATTTCATGCACTTGGAAAAATGGAATACACAACATCCAGCTGTTGTTTAATTTGTGTGATGATGATAAAAAAAAGAAGCGTTTTGTGTAAATAGCGGAACTGGTTGGGTTGGCCGGACACAATTACGATGACGTGACGTTGAGCTTCATTGTGCGCCGTTGTGATTGGACAACCAATTGTGCATGAATCCGGTTTGACCTTTGACTGTGGTGTACGCATTGATAACCACCGGTGATTTCCATTTATCGCCGAAAATGTTGTACAAAAGGTGCTGATCTCGTGCACAGATCGGAATCATTTCATCTAAATGCACATCTGGTTTAATATGCACCATGAAACCTAGATGCAACAAAATTGACGTGTTGTTTTCTTCGTTAGCATGGAATCGATTGAATGGGCAAAAGGGAAGAAAAATATGAAATTACCGATTAAAAAGTCATGCGGTGCCGCAGATGGCATGGATGATTGCTGTTTGGCTGGGTGCGGTAAAGGCGAATGCCATACCTCATTTCCATTGGTATCTTTTTCGTTAGAAATTTGTTTTTGCGATGATGCCAACAGCAGCTCTTTGTCACGAACCTCCCGGCTAACCATCGATCGAAAATTGTGCCGCAGAACAACCGTCTTATCCAACATGTTGCCATCAAAGTCAGGCACTGCGAATTTGAATAGAAAAATGTGCAATCGTTGCATGACATGTGCGAGATAAATTTGATGATAAAATTACATTTTTCTTGCATTCCTTCGTCCAAAAGTCGTTTGTAGAATTTGAACGGTCCGATTGCCCATTCCAGCTTGGCTACTCTGAATCGTTCGGTAATTAAACTAGCCAAATCTTGTGTCATTTCCAGTTGATCGACAGAAATGGCCGCGATTCGCACATAATATGCACATGCTTCGATGAATTTCAAGCGACGCAATTCGAAATCTGATGTGGAAGACAGTAAAAACGTGTAATGCATGTTTCTGTATGTCAAAAGTTTAGTTTTATTATACTCACCGATGTTTTCGTCTGACATTTTACCGCCAAAATGTTAAATTTTATTAAAATGAAGACAAAAAACGTGATTCAAAATGATTGAGAAAAGAATGATTCAGAGAATGTTCTCGGTTGACGCATCTCCAAATATTTGCAGTTGTTTATTGGTTCGTTAATAAACAAATTTCATTCAATCAAAACCGATTGCATCGCCATCTACAAAAAATCGACAAATTGGCAACATATTTGACATCTTCGGATATTTGAATCGGTGCAAATAAGAAAACCGTTTCCACACTGCAGATAAATTGCTGGAAAAGAACAAGAAAACAAATGTTAGCTCATGTGAATATCCGGTTACATGTTTTTCTTTTGCTTTCACTTCGGATCTTCAACAAAATGTATGGCATATGCGTACACGTGTGCGTATTCAGTGCACCATACGACGAAGTGGTCATTCCGAAACAATGGGCCTGAAATCATAACGATTGAACTTGAAAAAAAGAACCGCTCGCATAAATTATTTTTCAAATGAAAATTCGAAATGTTCAAAATGCGAGAGAATAAAAACGGTCAAATGATTTGACATTGGCTGATGGTCGAAACGTGCATTTTGAATAATTTGTCAGCTGGTTGATTCAGGTTTTATGTCATTTTTCCCTTGTTCTATAGCATTTTGATGAAGATGAATTAGAAATAATTTCGGGTAAAACATTCATCATCATACAGCAACTGGCACATCCACATCAATGGCGATTAAAGAAGAGTGAATGATTTCGTATGAAAAATGATTTGATGCAGCTATCTGTTGGTCGAATCTACAGAAAAAAAGATGAAATATTGCATGTCAAATTGCTCATTGACGGTCGCCAAAAATGTCTATTGCTGCCAGTAGCAGGACAGTGAATTATTTTTCGGGCGCAGCACGATCCATTGAAAACGAATATCACTTTTGACTCATTCGATGCGCTTGAACGGAAAAAAATCACAGTGTGTAAAAGGAGCAAAATTCCTGTAAAAAAAAATAAACAAAAATGACCCAGCACTCGTTTCACTGCAAGCGAAGGAAAAAAAATAAACGGATAAAATTGAAGAATGAACAGAGAGTGCATTCATTCTGAGTGAAGCAAACAAAATGCTTGTTCAGTATATTTTTTTTTTCTGTTCTGTTCTTTCTTCTCGTTATTGCGGTCGTATGCACACAACGACAGATCGAGCGAGATGCATTGAGAAATATGGCAGAGAGACACTTTGCACAGTGCTGCGCGCTCAGCGTACATAATGACAACAGTGTGTGTTGGTGAATAATCTGGCATTTAGTGAATATTATTGCTTGTCTCTTGTATGCACAGATACAGCTGTTTTCTCTCTTTCTTTTTGTGTCTCATTTCATTCTGGTGTTTCAGTTCAGCTTTATTTTCTTCTTCTACATTTGTTTTTTTTTCGTTTGTTTTCGGGCTACGGACGAGCAAAGCAATGCATAAAACGTTATACCCGATATATTTCGATCGCACAAACACATGCCACAAATTGGTTTCCTATGAACGCACAAACACAATTACGTCGACGACTAAAAAGCATAATATTATGCAGCACATTTTCGATTTTCCTCGTCTCTGTCTATCTCTGTTTCGTTTCAATACTACATTTTAAACGTATTCGAAACGCATACACACAGCAACCAGCATAGCCTCAAGTCACGTTGTGGAATGCCAGCAGTGCTGGCACACGCACACAAATACAAACAAACACAACCGTATTGTGATCGTTAAAAATGATTTGATGTTGGGCCTTAGCTATGCGACCGAATACACCATATCTCCAGTATGAATTAGGCAACGATAGAACGAGGCAACGTTGCATGTCACATGCACATACGAATCGTTTTTTAAACATTTTATTTTGTTTTTATCTTCATTTTTACACTGAATCGTGCCTCACTCAGTCAGTTACTAAACTTTTATCGTTTTGCAAAAAGAAGAAGGAATTCCGTTGTGATTTCTTTGAAAAGAACTTGATAAAACAGAATAAATTGTAAAGCAGATTTTAATTTTTGTGATCCGTTGTATTGATAAGAACAGTTTTTTTTTAAAACAAGAAAGTAGTGTGTCTTATGGAATTTCTTGTGCAAATCGCAACCCGCATAATCATCGAGCTAACTCAATTAGCTGCATAGTAAAATAGCAAAGAAGAAGAAAAAATAGAGATTTTGTGATAGAATCGCAACCAAACAAAGCCATTAGAGAGATTTTAATGTGTTAAAAGTGTGTTTTTCGTAAGCAGTAAATGTATTTTAAATGACATTTGATAGGAGAGCCCGAAAATTATTGACGAACATATTAATCGATTGATCATCGTGCTGTGCGAGACGGGTTCATCATTGTTTTGGATTATAAACACGTTATTTCATGACACAAGGTGGATATTTTTTGCAAATGATTCAACGATAGTGGTTGATGAATCAAATCGGATAATTCAACCTCAATCGGATGAGTCTCTCTATTCGTTCCGTACGAAAAATCAAAATAGACATTTTAAAATCCAGTGAACTTGTTTTATATAGTGAAATCTAGGAAATGTCACATTCATAATACCGAAAAACCAATCAATCGTTATTCAAACCATTGTTGACCACTGAATACATCATTGTAAATGAGTCTGAATATTCTTCTGAATACCGTCATTGTCTACTAGAGTCGCATACATTAATCTGTGGTGAAAATACAGAAAAAGAAAAAGTCGTTTTCGAATGTAGTAAAAATGCCATAAAACCCGTTCGAAGCGATAGTAAGAGAGAGAGAGACGCTCAAAGGTGCGTTTATTGTTGCCAATCTGCAAGTTTTTCCGCGTTGTTCAGAAAATTGGCGTCGTGCGTGTCATTCGATTTGTTTTAATCGTTTATTATATTATTCAGACGGCGAAATATTCGCTTTGATCGGTTAGTCGGTCAGTTAGTATTTGAAAGCGCATTTCAACAAACGAACCGTCTCAATAAAATCGCAAAAATATACATTTTATTTTTATCGCACTGCCGCTTCATGCTAATTTGCTCGGTTATGCGATTCTGTGTGTTGTTTCTTTTTCTCAACGAATGCGCTGCTGAATGCGTGCATTGTAACGAGTTGTTATTCAAGTATTTCGTCGCAAACCATTTTTTTCTTCTTCTGCGAAAGAGAAATGAGCAACGAGTGAAATGCATTCTGAGACAGTCAAATCTTAACCGATATGGTTGCGCATGAGTATTCATTTGCTCGCTAAGCAAGAAGAAAGTGAATGAATTAATCAAAGTGTAATTTTTGCTTTGACACCAATTTCAAATTGAGCCTATTGAAAGAGCAATGTGTCAGCAGCGAAATATTTGCCAAAATGGATATCAATTTTGGTGTGTTTGACAAACTAATTATTCGAGGAGGGAAATGTGAGACAATTTTTGCAATGCTTTCAGTTATACACATTTCAATGGGAAAAATAATTGACATACCAACGGTTTCAGTTCTCAGACGAGCACACAGTGTTGCATCGACGTTTTACGGTTTATTTGCTTTTTCGAAAAACCTTTGAAAATCCTTCTGTTTATTTTGGTTCAGTCTCCGGTTGATTGTTGAATTATTCCATTTACACCTCGGTTGTTGTTGTTATTTTGGTTGTTTTTTCTCTGCTCTTTTCGAAGTACACTGAAACGATGCATTCTCCGGGAAATCAATGAGTAACACATTCATCGTCATCGTCGACGACGTCGTCGTCGTCGTTGTCGTTGCCATCATTTGGTATTTTGCCATGTTCCACCAGCTCGATTCGAATGAACGAATGAAACAACATTCGTTCATTTAACCTGGTAACAAAAACATATTTTGTGTCTGTTCGTTTATTTGTTTCGTTTGCATTGCATCGCCACAACGCACAGTGAAACGCAATGGCCATGCATGATACCGGTTTTACACACTCTATCTCCTTCTTCTGCCGTTCTATCGTATGCAATGCAATGCACTGTGCTGCCTTAGTCTGATTATTTTATGCTGAGAAAGCACTATCGTTTGCTCGTGAGCGCGCGCGCTTACTTGCCCGTTCGTTCGATGCCATTCTTTTGGTTCGTCGTAGGACTCACGGGTTTCTTAACCGATGCCGAGAGAAATCATGTTGATGCTACGCTTCAAACTGTTGGCTTGCGCCCTAACGTCCATTCGGTGTGTTCTATTTCATTCCGTTGTCGTTCTAACGAATTGGATGCATTGTGCATACGAAAAACGTTTTTTTTTTGTTTTTTTCTTCTTTTCACATCATTCATCGAAATCATCGTTCCGATTCACTGCCGCTTACTTCAATATGTGTGTTTATTCTATTTTCGTTATGCACACGCACACAAGAACCGTTGTCTTCGCCCTTCCATGCATAACTCCTTTAAATGCACTCGCAACGAGACAAAACGATAACAACGCAAAGAACGAGAATGAGAGGAACAAAAAACAACAACGCTAACGTTTTTCTTCCTTGTGTTTAATTTAATAAGTATTTGAAGTTGAAGCGAGAGGGACCTTCTGAGTCATAAAATTAAATTAGGTGGCATCGATGTAGCCATTCTCATCTTAACTGCACCGTTCATCGATCGACTACTGCGATACCAAAAAAAAAATGTTTGTGTTGCTCATTTTTTGATGATGGTTTCGTTGTTTTTTTTGCATTTCCCTGCTATGTACAATGTTGCTTTGATGCCTTCGATGAGCCGATAAATTTAAAATTGTTTGCCGTTTGAAGTTTCGAATAAAAGACAGTAAAATTGGTGTACAAGAAAATTATATGTTCCGTAATAAGAAGATCGTCGCCAAAGAAAGGACGACGACGGCGATGTCGACGATGGCGGCGGCGCACAATTGCTTGTGGTTTCCGTCAATATGCCAATTTTGGTAACATTGTTCTTGTTGACTGAAATTCGAATTACCTCGTTTGCTTTGCTTGCGTTGCCATTGTTGTGTCAGCCTGATACAAAAATATTACCCATTCGGTTGACGTACGAATCGAATGCTATAATTTTCACTCGCTGCTAGTTTTTTTTTCAATCGCATTTTCTTCATTAATTTCTTGACTCCTTTCCAGCCGATTGATTTTGTTTTCTCTGCTCACCTTTGAACGTCATTGAGCAAGAATACCACTTCATCTCCGCCTTTTTATTGGCAGTCACGAGCTATTGCGAGAATATAATGAAGGAGAAAAAATAGCAGAATGTGCAACAATTTAAGACATAAATTCGGAATTCAACCAGGAGAGAGAGAGAGAGAGGGGGAGATTTTATATTAACCGCATTTAAATGGCTCAATTGCATGTGACTGCGACATTGATCGAGAAATTATATATTCGTCGATCGAAACGTGGAAGATGCCCAAGAATATTGAACGATGTTTCATCAAACACTTAGGCAATCATGGCAACACCGAGTGATTCTCACGAGCCACTGTCAACGTCGAAATTTCTGAGATTGTCTTCTCTTTTGCATCCTTCTTGAATCGCTTCCAAGAGCATGTAAATTGAAATGAAGACCGAGTGCGAGTGCTTACTTTTTGTACAGTGATTTGTCGCGACAATCAGCAAATATTTTAAGTGCAATTTTTCAATTCAGACATCGTTAAGCGAAGCGCATGAGCAGCAGCAGCAGCAGCACCGTCATATGTATGTGAGACGGGTGCTGTGTGCATCTCAGCAAACATTTGATCATTATCGCCAACACACGAAGCAAATCATTTTCAGGCGATCATTGAATTGAAGCAAACTCTCTCCTTGTCTCTCAGCCTCTCAAAATTGTCATTTGCTCCGCAAACCGAAATGAGAATATACTTGAGTTGCATTTATTAGCACCGACATACAATTTAAAATCGCTTAACTGTTTGTGCAAACTCATGACACCAAACAACAGGATGGATGTAGTGTTCGCTTTTCCGGCTTTGACTAACGAAAAAATTCCCGTTCACATCTCGCCATGAAATGTCATTGAAAATGGTCGTGGCATTTCATAAACCTCAATGCCTGATAAGCATCTACATTCGGCATTTCTCCCATTTTTATGACAATAAAAAAAAGGAAAGAAAAAAGTACACGCTCATAAATTCAACCATTTATTTGTGCTGTCACTTGGAATTGATGCAGTCGAAAGTAGAAATACTGGTGGTAATTTGATGAATGATAAGCTTCTGTTTTAACATGTTTGAATCGTGGTGCAACGATGCAAATATCCATACGGCCAACAAAGAGCTGGAGAAGAAGAGAAATTGATTTTAAATTAAAACCAAGCAATAAGCTTATAAATAGGTTTCCATTCCGAGAGCCGAGCTCTATGTGTGTTTCGTTCAATTTCTGTCTGAATGCAAACATCATTTCCAGCGACTGCATCTTTCGTTCTCTCAAAATGGATGGTGAATACATTACATGGTGAAGAACAAACAAAACAAATATGAAGTAGGCACATGAGAAAAACACACACCGAGCGATTCACATGCGGTTAAAATGCGCGCAGAAGAAGAATGGAGGTTGATTTTTCCACATATTTCACATGCACGGCCCTGATCCAAAATATCTTCATGTGACCTTTTATGAGAGCGCATCACAGCTTCTCGTCTGTCCATCTGGAATTCAATTAGACCAAATTGAGCATCACTAATGAAGGATTAGACGCTGTGTTGATTGCGACGGAAATGGTTTTCAAATGTAAACCGCAACGCACAGCGAAAACCCTGTATAAAAATATGATATTTTTATTGAATTCCAACGATAATTTCGTTGTGATGATCACCGCATATCTCAGACACACATTGATGATTAAATTGTTTCACCATGGAAGAGATTTCGGTGTCGATCAAACAAACCGTATTTCATTCGTATACATTTTCAATTAGGCTTTGATGCTTTGGATTTTTTTCGAAGAAAAAAAAATGTAAGACATAACAACAAACCGTTGTTCA